AAAAAATTGTACAACAAAAAAATAATTGTACCACCTTAATCATTTTTCACTCTATTAACAAAGTAAGATGGTTATAGTTATGTTTAAAATTTATATGAAGTATTGTTATCGTAAATTTTTTTTATATTTTATTATAAAAACTTATGTCATTTTGTTTTATAATCATTTTTAAAACTTTAAATATTTATGTAATTATAAAATACTAATTAAAATTAATTTAATTACAATAAATTAACATTCCACGAGACGATTTGTGAAAAAACACGGTAAAAGGGCAATCATAAATTCAAGCTAACTAAACAAACAAAAAGAGAGGGCCGCGACATGCCGACATCCTTCCTTTATTAGTTACCTTCCAAGTGGAAACAAAAATCAGACACGGAGAACTCCTCACCACTCATTCCCACCCACTCGGGCCACTCCCCCCATCATGCCAATCTCCCCTCCTTTCATGAGATATTCCTCATTTCCCATCCCATCAATTCGACGCGTTCACACATAAATAAAAAAAAAATTGATAGAAAAAAATACGTGGCAAAAGAATAACTTAAAATCTATTGAGGTGTGTATGGTATTTTGAGTCTTACACAGTTAACACCATGTGGTTTAAAATGTTGCATATAACACCTTAGAATTTCAAGCATTATGCAAAACAGCTACTATCTATCATTTGGTCTCCCTCTCTAATTTTAGGCAAACTATTATAAAAACTTTTATCAACTCAAATCTTATCATTTATAGTGCTTTGGGGGTAAGTTATTTTGCACCCAATGATGCCTTAGGGGTAACATATGGGTGAAAGGACATATAAAGGGTATTTGTTATAATAATTTGTATAGTTATGAATGGTGATATGTTAATAAAGTAACACATTTGATATTATGATCATTTTTATCTAGTTAAAGATTTTGCAGAAGTGTTGTTTTAGTAGTATTTATATTATATGATCTAATAGAGAAATATGAGAAATTCTTGGGATTGTTAGATTTTATTAAAGTTTAAAAAATATGCTGATGAAAAATCTATTATTATAAAGTTACAAATTTGTGTCTTCAACTAATAATGTACATTATTTTAAAAAGTTGAAATTAATTTGTAAAAGTTTCAATTATACTTTGAAAAATCATATTGGCCAAATGTTGATTTTTGAAAGTTAAGATAAATAATTAATTATCTATTTGATGGTGCTTTCATCTATTATTTAGATGTTGTATAACTTTTTTTTTCTATATATATTAAATGATAAATTATCCAATAAGATATAACTTCTCTTTTTTCAAATCTCTTATCACTCATTTTATAATTCAAATCTGAAATTTTTAACATGAAAATTCAAGTTTTTAAATATTGGGAGGTGCCTTGGGGGACATATTTCTTTATTTGTTGATAAATAAAATTTTAACAATATAGGCAATTTTTCAAAACTTAAGGGGTTAGATACTTAGTTGCACAAGCCCCAAAACAACGAGGGCAGAACTTCCTCATTCTAAAGCCCATATGGTAGGCTGGTAATATTTGAATTTTGTCTCTTCTCTCACCCCGTGTGTACAGTAGTGAGAGAAACAAATTCGGGTGCATTTGGCGGAATCTTGAATTTCCCAAGTATTGTTATAGTTTTCAAATCTACAGGCACAGGTAGAGGTGGATGCTAAAAAAAGGACACAGGGCCTTGGAGAGAGAAAGAGTGGAGTGGGTTTATCAGGGGACGGACGACGCCCCCACACGATCTGTGCGAAAAACATTTTGTGGTACCCAGAAAGGGGAAGGAGGGGCTAAGCCAAGAAATCCATCCAATCATGCCTTCAGGTGCGAAGAAGAGAAAAGCTGCCAGAAAGAAGAAGGAAAAGGAAACCAACAGCACCAGCCCATCATCAACCGACAACAATAACACCCATGGTACTTGCCTTTGCTTCATATGGCCTTTTCACTATGATAGTTGCCGTCGCTTTTTCTATCTCTATATTAGGTATTGGGTTTTTGGCTCAGTTTAGATTAGTGGGTGTTGATTTGGTTGGATTGCTCAGATTGAGTTTACTCGCTTACCTACCAGTCCTCTTTTTTTCTTTCTTTTTTCTTAGTGTCAATTTGGTTTGATGGGTATCTGGAAAGGTCCTCTTTTTTTTTTATTAAAAAAAAAAAATGATTGGAATTCTTGCGTGTTGAGTTTACTAAACTCGTCCATGATTTTGGGTTTCTTTTGTTCAGTTAAATTCTGAACGATTTTCGGTTCTGGTCCCTTGGTTTTGTTGATTTTGATGGGAATTATTACTGTTTAATCCTCATGTTCAGTTATAGTCCAGTTCCTTTTAGCTTTCATTTTGGTTTTTCATCTGTTAAATTGGCTTGATAAAGATTGCTACTTGGTCCCTTTACCTTCTTTCTCTATTTTATCTTGGACTGTTTTGGTTAAGCTAATTATACAAGTCGTCACTGAATCTTTAGTCACTGTTTTTATTAGTGCTGGTTTGATTGGTTTTAAACAAATTGTTTGTTTAGTTGTTTGCATAGTGATTATTATAATTGTGGCAATCAAACCAAATGGTCTTAGGACATGATGATCCGAAAAGCCAAGATGAGAGGGACAGTGACGGTGGTGAGGTTGGGTCCCCTGCATCCCAGGACCACCAGAATCACCATCATCCTTTCAGTGAGGGGGATCAAGAAAGTGAGAAGAGAGACACCTCACCCCTTCAATCATTTGTTTCGGAGAGCAATTCCATGGAAGAAATCCCTAAAAAAGCAGAAAGTACTGAGATATTAGGACAACATGATGATGTTGTGGTTAAAATCGAGAGGCAAGTGGATGATGAGGATCTGGACAGGAGAGACGTAAGCATTAAGCATGTTGAGCATGATAGGTCCAGCAGCAGCAGCAGCAGCAGTTCAGATGATGAGTCTCAAGCATCTGAGAAGAAATTGAAGGAGGAAACCCACGATTCAACATCTAAACCAATCTCAAACAGTGATGAGGGTAAACCAGCCAATTCTCAACATGAAGATGTGGTGCAGATAACTGAAAACGTGTCATTTGGAGTTGGGGAAGTTGATAATGATACTATTTCAGCTGCAGAAACTGCTTTTGTTGGTAAAGTGGTTGAGCCTATTTTATCTACACCTGAGGAGGTGAATCCTGTCATAGAAAGTTCTTCTATAAACAATTCAGTGGTTTCTGAAGATGTTGAACTGAGGTTGAAAGAAAATGAAGAGAAATTATTGCCCAAATCAAATGGTGTTAATGGAGTTCAATCAGAAGGAAATGAAGGCAAGATGTTGCCACCATCAAGTGGTCTCACCGGTGAAACTAGTACTGTTGTAGAAAATATCCAAGATTCTGAAATTCCTGGGGAAAAGCAGGTATGCCTGTAATACTTCTTTGGTTATGGGTTTAAATTGTCAAGTGTTTAATATGACAGAAACTGAATGCATATTTTTTAATGAATTCTGATATGCAGGCTCTTGTTGCTTCAACTCCACCAGTAGTGCGAAGAACGTCATGGTTAAGTTGCTGTGGATTATTTGATGTTCTTTCAGGATCTGGCAGTTAATTTCAGGCTGGGATGACCCACCAAGTTGAAAATGGTATATTATACCCTTTACAGTTTAGTTGATTGCATAATTAGATATTCTTGTTCTTTCCATATGTCTGATACAGAATTTGCACGTTTCTTTTCTTTGCTTAAATTTCTTTTTTTACTTCCCCTTGGGTGTGGGTGGCTGGGGGTGGAAGTTCTATTCGTAAGTTGAACTAAGACATGGCCACATGGGTCAACCTCTTCCCAAGCCTTACTATGTGAGCTGATTCTAAGTCTTTCCTAGTTGATCTAATCATGCTTCATATCTCTGTCACTTTCCCTTCCCTCTTTCTCTTAAAATATCTATGTCAAAAGGAGATATTTGATGCCATTAATTCTTGTTGCTTTTTCTTGCAAAGAAAAGGTAGAAAACCATGCCAGGGGCCAAACAATGGAGAAATGGGTTACCAACTATTGGTTGGAATGAATAAAATAACAATAGCATGTAAAGAGCACTCTTTATAACTACTTTTGATGTTTGGATGAGCTTGGAATGTGGCATTTGAAATCGTGTCTGCCCATTATTTGTTCTGTCATTCCATGGTTCCCTAGGATGTTTCAAGCAATACAACTCCTGATTATTAGCCCTGTCCCTGGAATTTTTTATTTTGGCTGTAATGGGTATGATTATATTGTAAATTTGCTCTCATGTTACATATTCTTTTGTTGTTCTTCAAATTATTCATGGAACTAATTGGTCCAAAGATTTAATTTCTTTGGTTTGGTGTATTCGATTGTCTCACATATATTCTAGTAACCTTTTCTGTCTTTCCCTTTCAGTGGAAAAGGCAAAACTAGTCAGTGAAGTTTGTTAGAATCAGCAAGCATATGGTTTCTAGAAGCCTGTTATATCCAAAGCCCCATGTTTTTTCCCAGAAGAACAATGGACCATGGACCTAGGTAGGCAAACAGTCCGAGCTTTGTGGTGGATGAAGCTCATTGTTCCTAGCTTCAAGTACATTCTCTCTTTTTTTTTTTTTTTTTGGCACTCTTACATTGCAGTGTTTTTAGTCTGGTGCTAGTTCTATCTCGTTTACTTTGTCTTGGGTTGAGTGGATTAGTTTTCTTAAAATTAAGTTTTGTGCAATATAAAATAACGCGACTGCAATACCAGTTTATATAATTTTGATTGAGGTATTCTCTCTGTTCTTTCAGCTTGTTTTATGATTCTCGACTTTTTTGAGAACCAGTGCTTTTAGTTCTAACTCTTGGATGAGAAAATTAGAACCATTTAGATTCTTGTTTAAGGTATGGCATTCGGTACACGCTACTATATTTCAGATGCAGCATCTGGTTTTCATTAAGGCAATTGTTGGACTTCTTCTTCGCATAAAACCCCTTAGAGGCCCTCTAACTGTTTGATTTTGAGACTATTAACTCCATAACATACTCTTTATATACTTTAACCCATAAATTTTACATTATTACTGTAATTAGCCCAAATTAGGCATATTTCCATCACGTGAGAGTCACATGGCTATCACTACTCCATTCCTCTCTCCTTGTTGGTGTCATATTGGAATATATGATTTCCTTGGACTCATGGAGGTGGAAAAATTTTCACTTACAGCACGAGTTTCATCTTGAGTGGGATTTTTTCCACCTACCTAAGTTTAAGTGAACCATATTTATGCCAACATTGCATTGACAAGAATAAGGTAACAGATTAGTGATGATCACATAACTTATTTAATAAGATTTTATCTACCATAGGTTAATTACAGCAATAATGTGAAGTATGTAAGTTAATGGTCATAGACAAACAATTAAAAGGGTTTTAGGGGTTAAGCCCCTTTTTTCTTACCTTCTTTGGTTGAAATGAAATTTCTTCCTGTTCAAGGGCATCTATGCACAGAACATGGACTCGATCAATATAATGAAGTTCCCCTTTCCACCAGCTCTTTATTACATGTTCACACAAATCCAATCATATCAGAAGAAACACACCACAATCTGCCAGTTTCCTGGCTTTGTTTGTAATCTCAGTACACAAAAAGAAAAGCAAAAATAATAATAATAATAATAATAATAATAATGAAGACACAACTCTTCATTGTTGTTCTCTACATTCAACCTCTCCTGGTTATGGATCCAACTCCATGAATAGCTGCTATGTAGAAAAGTTGGGTAGCCGAGAGGATAAGCAAGAATGCCTCCATTGTTCTCTGCAAAAGATACCATTCATGTTTGATCAGATGCTGCATATAAAATCTTGCAGACAGGAATTTAGAGCAACATCAAAGCTGAATCTGTGTTATTATACCAGACAGGAATTCCTGGGTCCGCGCGCAATTTCTTTGCAGGCAAATCTAGAACGAAGAGAAGCGAATTACTAGTTAGTATGGATAGAAAAGTTATGTCATATGTTTGATTGTTTTCTGGCTTTATAGTTAAACATGCTTACCCCATTGCAAGCAGAGTAAGGGTCCAAGCAATGGCACCAGCAGAGGCGGCGGAGGGCAAGCTGTCAGCAGTCCATGTGCGGAGATGGTTGACACCAACAATGGCTGACGCTGCCCCAACAACTCCAGCTAGCAAAGCGAAGGTCACAAAGAATCCAGTGGCAGCATTTCCCATAGGGAAGTATATGGGTGAGAAATGTGCAGGAAGACTGAAATCAGGACCTGAAAGGCATCACGTAAAAGTCTTGTACAAATTGATAACAAGTATGAAAGGAAAAAGAGGAAACAAGGAGTGATTTAGTTACCAATTACAAAACCATAATTGATTGCTCTATTCATAGCCCATCCACCAATGCCCAAAATAATGGCATACATACAGAAATTGAGAAACAAAAGCAAAGAAGCTACACTTTTCATGTCCCCATTAGCCATCTTGGTTTGTGTGTGATGAAAGAAACAAGAGAGGAAAAGAGAAAGGGCTGTGGAAAGAGGGAAGGATTGGGAGTTTTGAGAACTCTAAAAGGTTCAGATGAAGAAAAGACTGAGCAGTAAAGCAGAGGAGTATGTGTGTTTGTTGCAAGGAGAAGGGTATATATATATGGCATTTTGGGAGACTCTGGTTCTTTTCTTGCCGAGGCTGGTGGTTTTCCGATGGTTCTGTGGGGTTGTAAAGTGGATACTTTGTGCTCAAGGCAAGCCTTCTTAAAACCGCAGATTCTTGGTTCACATTTTCAGTCATTCTTTTTCCAAAAGGGTACATTAATTCATCTTCTAGGCTTTTGTAGCAGAAGCTGCTAGTAGGAGGAAAAGTGATATTCTTTGCCACCTGGAGAGGCTGATTTGTCACCTGATTAGAAATTCTTTGGCAACCAAACCATTTCTTTTCCATCTCAAATTGTATTATTCGATGAGAATTCGGTCCGATTTTGATGGAGTAGGTAGAGAACAACTGAATTTTCTTGTATGGAATGAAGGATCGATTATTTACTACGAGTAATATATTATGGATGAGTTCGACAACTTTAGTTATTTATTTTAATAGAATTAGATATTCAATTTTTGAGTTGTAAATAAATAAATATATATTATATTGAAAATTGTAAGAAAATTACCTTTTATTATTATTATGTAAATCGAAATCAAAGAAATAGAAACTAATAGTAAGATTAAATCTTAATAATATTATTTTACTTTTTAAAAATAAAGTTGATTTTTTCATAATATTATTTTAATTAATTTCAATGCGAATTTATTAAAAAATATAAATTTAGTGGATAATTTCTTAATTTTCTTAAGGAGTAATAATTTATAATATTATATTTTAAAATGAAAATCATTTAATCATTAATTCTTTGAATCTATAAGGACCCACATCCTTATATTTATTTTATATTTGTTTTAAATTTTGATCTTAAAAATTTGTCCCTACCATCTACTTTTTTCCCTAGGATTTCTTAGGAGCTAGCAGTGACAACTTCTAAGATAGTATTAAAAGATTGTTAAATAAACAAAGGAAATTCCATGAAATATTCCAACAAAAAAAAAATTCCATGGAATAAATATACTATTGAAAATCCCAAATATACACACGGAAGCCCAAAGACAACATTTACCCGAAAAAACTTAAACGCAACGGACCTTCTGACTTACTATTGTTTAGGGCCCATTTCCCATGAGGCCTGGTCTGGCCCGGTTTTAATAAGTAACAAAAACGCCAGACTTTCGCGTCGCTTCAAATTGTTGAATCGACCGTTTGTAATATGTTAACGTCTCGCTCCATTTTCCGGTGTATCAGAGGTTCAAAGGCATATTTAGAGACCTCAATCTCGGCTTCTGCATCTCCGGAAACGGGTATCGGTGGTTACGCGAAATCAAGTACTCTTTCTTACAAATTCTTGCTCTCTGATTACTTGAAAAACCAGAGGTTAGATGAAGCTCGCGGAGTTTTTGATAAAGTCCCATTTCCTGATGTGTATTCATACACCAAGATGATCTCCGGTTATGCGGAAAATTATAGGCTTGATGATGCATTGGAGCTGTTTTACGAAATGCCCGTTAAGGATACTGTTTCTTGGAATTCAATGATTAAAGGGTGTTTGCATTGTGGGGATTTAGCTATGGCTAGGAAGCTGTTTGATGAAACGCCTGAGAGAAATGTTGTTTCTTGGACAACCATGGTACATGGGTATTTGCAGTTTGGGAGAGTTGAGGTGGCTGAGAGGTTGTTTTTTGAGATGCCTGTCAGGGATGTTGCTGCGTGGAATTCAATGATTTATGGGTACTTGCAGTTTGGGAGAGTTCAGAATGCTGTGAGGTTGTTTGAGGAGATGCCTTGTCGGAATGTGGTTTCGTGGACTTCGATGATTGGTGGGTTTGATCAGAATGGGAAGAGTGATGAAGCTTTGATTCTTTTTCAAAAGATGTTAGGTACTGGTGTTGAGCCCACTTCAAGCACTATTGTTTGTGTTTTGACGGGTTGTGCAAGTGTATCAGCTTTGGATTTGGGTGTTCAGATTCATGGCTATGTTGTTAAGTTCGGATACTGCCTCGATGAATTCATATGTTCTTCACTTATAACATTTTATGCAAACTGTGAGCAAATGGAGAATGCCTACAAAGTTTTTCATGAGAAATTGCAGAGAAGTGTGGTGATATGGACTGCTCTTTCAACTGGTTTTGGTCTGAATCGTAAGTATGAATGTGCACTGATGGTTTTTAGGGATATGATAAGAATGGGCGTCCACCCAAATCAATCCTCTTTGAGTTCTGCTTTGAATTCATGTTGTGGGTTAGAGGCTATAGATAAGGGTAAAGGGCTCCATACGGTATCCATCAAACTAGGTTTGGAAGCTGATACATTTGTGGGCAATTCTCTAATTGTCATGTATACAGAATGTGGAAACATTTACAATGCTATAAGTGTATTTAAGAATGTTATAGAGAAAAATGTTGTCTCATGGAATTCAATTATTGTTGGATGTGCTCAACATGGTCATGGTATGTGGGCTCTGACATTCTTTAGCCAAATGATTATTGCAGGAGTTGAACCAGATGAGATCACATTCACTGGATTGCTTTCTGCATGCAGCCATTCTGGGATGTTGGAAAAAGGGAGATGTTTTTTTGAGTATATTAGTCAATACAAGTTGACCAAGTTGAACCTTCAGCACTATGTTTGTATGGTGGATATATTGGGCAGGTGTGGGAAGTTGGAAGAGGCTGTGAAGCTAATTAAAAATATGCATCTGAAAGCAAATTCTACAGTATGGCTAGCTTTGCTTAGTGCTTGTAGGATGCATTCAAACCTAGAAGTTGCTGAAAGGGCTGCAAAGTATATTTTTGATCTAGAACCACATTGTAGTGCTACTTATGTTTTATTGTCCAATATATATGCTTCTGCTGGTAAGTGGAGTGATGTCTCAAGAATGAGAGTGAAAATGAAACAGAGAGGAATCACAAAACAACCAGGATCCAGCTGGGTAACTTTGAGGGGAGTGCGGCAGGAGTTTCTTTCTGGAGATAGGTCCCATCCTCTCAGTGAAAAGATATATCAAAAGATTGATTGGTTGGGAGTAAAATTGAAGGAATTGGGCTATGTGCCGGATCAAAGGTTTGCCCTGCATGATGTGGAGGAGGAGCAGAAGGAAGAAATGTTGTCATATCATAGTGAGAGGCTTGCTATTGCATTTGGGTTGGTTAGTACAGTGGAGGGCAGTCCAATAACAGTGATGAAAAATCTTCGTGTGTGTGGAGATTGCCATAATGCCATCAAACTTATAGCAAAGATTGTTGGGCGTGAGATTGTTGTAAGAGATTCTACCCGTTTTCATCATTTCAAGAATGGCATATGCTCCTGTGGGGATTACTGGTAGTTAAATTTGTTGATAACAATAATTTTTTGAGTGGGGTTCTGAAGCTTGGCAACCTCTTCAGCATCAAAAGTGGTTTCACGTTTTTGGATTCCTCTTCAGCCAGTTAAGGATTCAATAGCAAAGTGAAAACGACCACTTTAGAAATCAATCTTTGGCAATCTTGGTGCTTTAGTTACAGAGAAGATGATTCAACAGAGGAGCTTTACCTCTTTGCAGATAGCTCCATGGCAATGGCATAGCCCAGGTGGAGCTTTGCCTCTTTGCAGACAGCTCTGTGCATAAAAAGATAAAAAAAAGGTAGGGTTGGCAAGTCGACACTAACCTCTTTTATACAAATTCTCAAAAAAAAAATTTGAGGATTTTTCTAAAAAA